CAAATCTCCCTAAATAAAGGAAAAAAATACAACTGATTTCTAAAAATATTTGTACAGCTCACAAATCTCTCAACTACCTAAAATAGCACATAATATAATACATAATTACCGAGATCTTCCAACAGTCCCCTTCCCCAATTGGTCCTGAGAAGTGAGGACATTCCCAGAATTTCTCCCCTCTCATTTCTTATTACTCCTATCCCAGAAAGGCCTGGATTGCCAAAACTACTACCATCGAAGTTCAGTTTGAGAAATCCTGCTGTAGCCTTTAGGTGGAACCCATTGTTTGAGGAAGAGGAACCTGCAATCACCTCCCACTTTCTAAGTATTTCATCAACAGTAAATTCAGAGAACAACTTCATTGTTTTTGCCCAATGCACTACTTTAACCACAATGCCTTCAAGCACATTTTCCACCCATATTTTCTTTCCCCTGAATATTCTTAGATTTATTTCATTTATCAAAAAAATATTCTTAGATTTCTATCCTCCCATATCATCCATATCACTGCAGCCCTTGTGCATCTCCAAAGCAGCCTCTCCCTCTTTCTTGGCCACCTAAAAGTAGATGACTCAAAGAGCCTGTCCAAACTGCTTGGGACAGTCCACCTACAACCAAAAGGCACAGAGATCCTATCCCAAATATAACCTGCAAAGGGGCAAGAAATGAAAAGATGATAAGCAGTTTTACCATTTGAATTTCACAAGATACACCTGTTTGGAGAGAGGCACCAACCAGGTCACTTCCTTTGCAGCATATCACATGTATTAATTGCACCATGGAAGACTTTCCTACAAAAGGCACCCACTTTTTTTTTTTTTTGGGGGGGGGGATAGGACGGTTCCAGACTTCTTTAACTGGGAAAGAGACTGAAGGGATATTGGGGCAGACAAAGAATTGAAACAAAGAGGAAACACTGAATACCCCTGATGAATGACCAGTCCAAACCCAATTGTCTCCTCTATTAGAATCAGGGTACACCTCATTCAAAGCCCTAGCAAAAAAAAGAAAAGAAAGGATGAAAATAATTAATATATGTTAATGGGACAAAATTTTGAGTTCTTCCTAGCTTCCCTAACAACTAAGAAAATAATAAAACGAAATCAGTATTTTAACTCAAACTGAACAATTTAGTTTAATAATAATAATAATAATTATTATTATTATTATTATTATCATTATTATTATTATTCTCTAAAAAAAGAATATAAAAGTATATAATAGCACCATGTACAGAATACCTTGGCGATTAAGTGAGGCAACCCTCCATGGGTGCTTTGTCATCCCTATCACCCATAGTGAAACATTTTAGGTCTATGAGGAATTGGGTCATTTAGGTGGTGTTTGACAACATTGTTGCTGATGTGGCAGTTTTCGTTTTCAAAACAAAATCAGCCATGTTGTTAAACACCCCCTTGTATTTCCTATGATAAGGTCTGCCTATCACCTAAATGCCCTATGATATTTCCCAAGGACCTTTTAGTCATTATAAAATACAACTGTAACAATAGTGCCTTCTAAATAAAAGTCTCTCTTTTATTAATAAAATATAACATGTACAAAGATATGTTTAGCTTTGAAAGAGCACCAGGAAATTACATTTCCAACATTTTCCTGGGAAACAACCCCCCGATAAAATTAATTACAACTGATTCCTATTCACGCCTTGTCTTGCCAAGGCATTGGCCGTGCTAGTGGCTGATCTCTGAATCCAGTTGAAGGTAGATCTTAGTTCCCTAGTTGAGTATTTTCACTTACTCATAATATGATTATATCTCCAACAGTTTATGGTATTATTTTTAAACAATCTCACCACCATCAAGTCTCCTTCCACCATCATGTTCCTTAATTAAGGGATTTGTCCAATCTCAAGAGTCAAATCCTGTAGTTCTGCTACAACTCAGCCCTTGTTGAGTCACCATGTCTCATGGACCCATCCATGCTTACACCATGACTATTTCTGAAAACTTCTATTCCTTAATTCTGAGGATGCCCAAACTTGAACCATCAAAATCAGTTAGAGGCAGAAAGGGAGTTGGTCCCTGAAAGGGACCAAGGTGAAGGCATATCATCCACTGAAATGAGTCACATGACATCTAATGATGTCTTCAGTAGAAATGTGTCAAATGCAGATTTCGCCCATTGTGCCACTTTCACGCTTATGAAATAATTTTTACTTATAGCATTTGAATGCATAACTTCATCATCTGACTAGAGTTTAGATGCATGCCTTATGGGTACAAGTGCTAGTAGAATTTAGTGCTAAATGAAATGATTTTATCCCCATTTGTCTCAAAAGTACCCCATTAGTTTTCCTTTTATTTAATCAAAGTCAAGAAATGGCATGGTTCTTAATACATATTATCTTTCTGAAGTTTTGGTGTATGACAGATTTATCTGGAAGTTAGATTGAGGCGTTGTGTTACAATACCATTAACTTAATGAGAACATAAACTAAGATTTCAAAATGACCTCAAGTTATCTATACAGAAAATTAGAGATCCTTCATCATCCTCCTTTATACATCAACTTTGCCCAATATTATAATATGAGGCTAACTCTGCCATTGTTCTGCAGCAATATATCCATACTCTTGAGGCTTCACTACAGGAGGAAATGTCAAGACACGCCCCTCTCTATGGTGCTGGCTTGGAAGCTTTGTCATTAAAGGAATTGGAGACACTATCTCGTATCCATGAGGAGGGGCTCAGGCAGATCCATTCACTCCAACAGCGGAAAGGGAATGCTGGTGGCAGCCCTCTTATGAGCCCCCACACCCTGCCCCTTTCCCATGGAATGTACCCTACAGCCCCACCTCCCATGGCTATTGGACTGCCTCCTCCACTCGTTCCAAATGGTGTTGGGATCCACAGTAATGGGCATGTGAATGGTGCAGTTGGACCCTGGTTCAACCCTAGCTAAATTAAGGGGCAGAGTCTCTTGTAATTCTTTACTAGTGATGATGTTTCTCATTCATCTGGCTGGCCTTCTGTTTTAACAGTTAGAGCTCAGTAAAATTTCAATACAAAGGGTTTTGTCTTATAATTTTTCATTCCGGTTTTTCCCGAGACATCTTTTGGCAGTTGAATTGGTAGAGCCATTGGGTCATCTGTCAAATAAATAAGATAAAAAGGAAATGCATAGAATACAAGAGCAAAAAGTCAAGGATAGGTTTCTCTTTGTTCCTTGTTTTGCCTGTTGTATAGTTGTGCCCAGATTCATCATTCAAAGAGAAATGATATCTACTTCTGTACAAGGAAATGCTTGCAGCGTAAACATCATCATTAAGGTCTGCTACATATCCAGTCAATTCATTTTCATATGGTACTAGCGGGGAAATAGAAAAATGCCATTTGAATATACAATAATAAATTAGGTTGTATTTTTTAAATAAAATAACTATAATTATATTATTATAAATAATAAATAACTATAATGGGCTCCAATTTGGTTTAGGGTTGTCAATAGGTCAAGACTAAGTAGAACCAGTCTTGAACCAATTATTTAATTGGGATCAAATCATAGACCTCAAGGTTTTTAAAACTGATCTGGATAACGAACCAGTTAGGGGTCTAGTTCCTGGGTCGAATGGTTCGACCATTTTGACAAAAAAATTAAAAAAAAAAAATGGTAAGAACCGTTGAACGGTTAGAATGGTTCAATCGCCTAGGTCAGCGGTTTATTGACCAAATCAATGTTTTTTTTTGGCAAAAATCTGGTTTTGGTGAAAAACGGAACTGATCACCTAACCGGTTCCCGATTTTTTCGATCCGACTATCCGTTCCAGTCCTACTTTGAAAACCATGATAAACTTGATTATATTGAAAGCAATAGTTAAAATAATATTAATTTATTTTTATGTTAATAAGTTAAACATTTTTAACTAATATTATCTTATTTATTATTTATCAAATTTACTATTTCAAACATGAAACATGATAAAAATTACAAGAAAGAAAAAATTATATATTTCGTAAAATATTTGGTTCCAAACTTGAATCAATTCTGGACAAGAACGAGAGTTAATCCAATAATCAATCATGACAAAATCATGGAACCCAAATTGTTATAATTATGTTCAATCAATTTAGCTCCATCAAGATAGACCCAACCCATTGGATCAGCCTTAGTTTTTCTTAAATAAATTAACATTTATATAATAATTTATTAAATTGAATAAAATAAATAAATAAATAAAAGTTTATTGGGATGAGACTGGTATAGGCTATCTCAAACTAGACTCGACCCGTTGATAGCCCTAAATATGGGTTCAAGGGGAGAGAATAATTTGTTAGTAAATTATTTCTAAATAAATAAATAAATGTTTATTAAAACCTTTCTCTCAATGTCACATCTCCGTTATTTTACTGATTTTATTTTATTAAAATAAATAATTTATTTAATTTTATTAAATAAATAAGTGTTTAGATAATAATAATAAAATAAATGAATGAATAAATACAAATTGAGATAGAGAATAGGAGAAGAAAGAGAGATTAAGAGGGATGGCATTTTATTTATAGGATGTCATAATCGTAAATAATTGTATATGGCACTCTTGTAATTTTTGAATGCCAAAGTCAATTACATAAAGAGATTTATCTTATATGTGGCACTCCTATAATTTTTTAATATCATAGAGGCAATTAAATGGTAAGGTAAAGAATGAGCATTTGTCTTATATGTGGCATTTCAGTAATTTTCAAATATTATAAAATCAATTGTATAGGGAGAGTTTGTCTTATATGTGGCATTCTTGTAATTTTCGAATGCCAAAGTAAAGAGAGGTGGGAGAGAAGAGAGAAAGAGTAAAGAAGAGAAGGGAGGGAGAAACGCATGTCAATAATTTAGAGCACGCCTATCGAGGCAAGAGCAAATCACGTGTCAAACTCCAAATGCCGTCGTACATCTTTCCAACACTTTTAAGTATATAGCTATAGATTGAGAGGAATATATACATCCATCCTTTTGCCTTGAAAGACCACATTTCACCATTTCCAATAAAAAGGAAACAAACAAATATGCTTGATATTTTTCTAAAATTTAAGAGACATATAGAAGTTTTATTTAATACCAAAATTCGATACTTCTAGTCTTAACTAGGGGGGAGAATACTAAAAATTATCCCAGTATTTGGACTCACAAGGTATCACTCATCAAGTAACCTGCCCTCAGACTCATAAACAAAATGGAACAGTGGAACGGAAGCACAAACACATCATAGAATTAACCCTCTCTCTACTGACCTCCTCAAATCTCCCATTTTCCTTCTGGGTAGATGTGGCAAAAACAATAGTTTATCTGATTAATAAACTTCCGACTGCTTCTCTCAATGGTGGATCTCTCTATGAGGTACCTTTTCAACGCTATCCAGATTATTCTATGCTTAAATTTTTAGACTTGCTATCCCTTTCTTTGACCATACAACCATCATAAGTTCATATTCAAATCACTTCAATGTATATTTCTTAGGTATAGTCACACCCACAAAGGGTATCGTTGTTTTTGTCCATCCTCTGACAAGTTATTTGTGGCATGGCATGTTTTTTATGAGTCCTTATTTTCGAGTATTCCTGCACCTTCTTCAGCCCCGCCGGTCTCTTCTACCACTGGGGCCTTTATTTTAGTGCCACTTCAATGTCCCAATCCTACAACTGTCTCTCCTTGATAGGCAGCTGCCAGTATGACCACACATAATGCAGCCACCGAATCTGCTTCTCCTACGACTCTCTCTGAGTCTGGCACGATTGAACCCACTCCAGTTCAACATTCAACTGCTTCCACTACTTTTGCATATACTCCGATTCAGTATCACAATATTCAAGATATTCTTAACACTTCACCGACTGTACCTCCACCAGCTCGCACACACTCTATGGTCACCTATTCCATGGATGGAAAATTACCAGTTCACTCCAATCATGTGCCGAGATATCCTCTCCCTAATTCTATTATTTCTTTAATTACTTCTTGAGAGGCAGAACTAGGGGTGTTCACGGTTCAGTTTTTTAGACCAAATCAACATGTTCAGTTTTTAAATTTAATCGAACCAATGCAACCGGTTAATTGGTGGACCGGTTAACCACGATTCAGTTTTTTAGTTTTTTTATGCACTAAAAATTTAAAAAAAAAAGGAAAAAACCTACTAAGAGCGAAGAGACTGAGTGAATCTGAGTGATTGTAGAGAGAGAGAGAGAGAGAGAGAACAGAGAGTAGGTCTAGTCCGTTGGGGAAGAAGAAGAAGAGTTTGAGAGAGAGTGAATAGAGAGTGAAACAATTGTTAAGATGAACAGCTCTAGCCGACTACAGAGTGCCTAGTTTCTCCTCCTTTTGGTCGACCTTCTCTTAACATCTCTCGATCATGGTGGAATAGACGGAAAAGGCATTCCTTAAGCAGTTGAAGGTGTTCCTATGTTCGAAAAAAACCGGAAAGGGGAAAAGGCTTGACCTAGTCGACTACAGAGTGCCTAGTTGAATAGTTTCTCCTCCTTTCGGTCGACCTTCTCTTAGCATCTCTCAATCATGGCAGGATAGATAGAGTGCTTTTCCACCGTTTCTGGTGTGGAAAAGCATTGGTCTGGGGTTCAATACGTTGAGAGAACTCAGAGAAGCTATTGAAGACTTGAAGTAAGTCTTGAACAATGAACACTAAACGACAGATTGGTAGATTCCTGTTTGCATCATGATTGGATTCTCTACATCCTGCTAGAGCCAAAACCAAAAGGGACTGGTCGACTGGACTTCTTGGGTAACTACTGGGTACACATGGAAAGTTTGTGTTTTCTGTAAAATAATCAGATTCTTTGCAGATGAGCAATGAAAATCCAGGCGTCCCTCGCTCCATTGGTGTTAAAAAGGAGCATCTCGAGGTTGTTACCACCTGGCCATCCACCTGTTCATAATAACTTGCTCACATTCGAGGCTTTTTAAGCTCACGCATACTCGTGTCTTTCCTTCTTAATTTAATGCACATAAAAAAAATGAACACCCTTGTTAGAGTCAAACTGAGAGACTACCAAACAACCCAAACTGACAGTGATAGGTTTGATTTTTGAAGAGAAAGGCTGAAAACCAAACTTTGTTATTCGATTTTCAAAAAAAAAAATTAAAAATATAATATAATATATATAATATTATATAAATATATATTATTGTATATATATATATATATATATTGGTTGGTTTGGTTAACCACCGGTTTTTTTAAATAGTTAACCAAAACTGAACCGAAACTGTCGATTTTTTGAAAACACAGAACTGACTAGTTCGGTTAACTGATTTTTCAGTTCGATTTTGGTCAATTTTTTGGTTTTTTTGCTCACCCCTAGGCAGAACCCCGCTCCTATACTAAAGCTGTGAAATCCCCTCAATGGCATGATGCCATGCAAAAAGAATATAATGCCTTGACTAGTAATGGGACCTAGGAGATTGTTCCTTACGACTCCCGTATGAATATAGTTGGAACAAAGTGGGTATTTAAAACTAAAAAGAATTCAGATGGAAGCTTTAATTGTTACAAATCCCATCTTGTGGCGCAAGATTTTAATTATATTTCGAGGCTTGATTTCTTTAGTCTAGTTGTTAAACTAGTGACTATTCGTACTATTCTTGCTCTTGCTCTTTCTCATAACTAGTCGGTTCGCCAGTTGGACATAAATAATGCCTTCTTGCATGGCTTTCTGGACGAGTTATATAAATATATATATATATATATTTATATTTATCTGTATGACAACCAAAGGGGTTCGAAGATCCCTCTTGACCTGATCATTTTAAAAGCTCCATAAAGCTCTTTATGGTCTCAAACAGGCCCTTCAAGCTTGGTATTCTCGGCTCAGTAGTACTCTTCTTCATATGGGTTTTCGGAATTCTACTACTGATCCCTTTCTCTTCATTTTTTATCGTGGTGGTACTCAGTTATTTATTCTTATTTTTGTTGATGATATTATTCTTCCTAAGAATTCTCCTACTACGACTGATCCATTGAAAGATTTGGGCACTTTGCACTATTTTCTTGGTATTGAAGCACAATATATTTCTTCTAGCTTATTTTTATCTCAACAAA